TATTGCAGTACCTAACCTTAAAGTGCTAATGCTCACCGCGAATAGCCTGAAGACAAGCTCCACGGAGCAACCTTCTCAAGTGTGGCAGGCATGCTGCTGCATGCTTGTCAGGAGATTCGTCGCCAATCCCTGGAGGTTTCTGACATGCAGTGTGGGAATTTGCTTTTGAGGGTTTCCAACCGATCAACCTTCAATTTTCGCTTCTGTTGCGCAAGGCGGTCATCCGTGACTATCCAATTATACAATGGTCCTTGCAGAAGTGAGATCCAACAGGTTTATCCCGATTGATGTCTACGGATGCTTTGTGCGATCGGGATACTCTGAGCATTCCAGCATACTCATCAATGAAACAATGTCCAACAAAATGTATCGCGGGCTCTTGACAAGACATATGACTTGGAGCTGTGAAAGAATTGGAAGGAACATTTTTGCATCCAACATAGCTATCCCTTAAGCCTATTGAACCTTTTGCGGAGTTTGGTGAAGTTAAAGCAATGTCGAATGGGAAAAGGAGGTACACCTCTCGATCTTGACATCCCAAGCTGGAGAAGCCGCGAATAAGAATGTGCTTCACATCTCCAATTTCTCTTACCATGTTACAACATCCACTGTGCCCCAACCACAAGCTCCTCCTCGTCTTAGAAAGCAAGTTGTCATCATTCAGCACTGCGCTTTCCTGCTTGATCTCTGGAAGTGTTGGATGTGCCTCTCAGGTTCATGGCAGCGTTTTGTGTACAGAGGAAGCAATGAAGGATGCAGGAACACTGGAGTGTAAACTTGAGCCCTTCTGGTAGACCTTCAAAAATAGAAAGTTGGACTACGAGAGATGTGAAGTTACCATAGTTTTGGGGTGCTCCTCGCTTGCGGACATATCACTGTCCCTTGGTCCAGGACCGGGTGCAGAAGGGGGTTTGTAAAAGTTCAATGTACAAAAATGCAGTGACACCCAATAAACCACATGAAACAATGAGATGCCGACCATAGTTAGTTTGGGGTTCAGGTCTTAGTACCATAGTGTTTTCAACCACAATTTCGAATTCGTATACGGTGGCGACCTGTCAAGGAACGCTTGGTTCTACGACTTTTGGCCTTTGCCGTAGATGTGCTCCCCGAGTTCGTGACCGAACTCTACGCGGATGACTTGGCGGAGGCTGGTGGGTTCAACAGGAAACGGCTGAAGAACATCAGAGAGTCTTATGCGCCTTCGCGACTTCGATACAACTGTCTTGCAAACTGAAAAGCTGTCCTAATGTCAAAATTCCAAACACAGCAACAAATTGGAACCTATGAGCCTTTGTACGGGGTGTGCCGATGAGATGCAGCTGGAAATGAATTTGAACGGTGTATTTGTTTTGTTGAATGTTCTTTACATTTCATCACTGGACTTACAGATGCTTTGACCAATTGTAGTTCCTGTTGACTGCTTGTGAGGTTACGGCCATAGACCTTAAGGCGAAGCGCAGCTCGGCAGATTGTATGGGCATTATCTCAAGAAGGAATGGAAGGTAGAAACAACAAAGGAAAGGGACTCAACTCTGTTCTAGGAGAGCTCACACTGACAGAGAAGCTCATCAAAGATGAGCTGGCCTTTCAAGCGGAGCATGGAGAAAAGATGTTGCTTGGTTGCAGCAAGAAGCAATTCACTAGCGGTTTGCAGAGTTACCAGCATCAAGATGTCCATTCCAGGTTAACTGAATTACGCTTTAGAGTGAATCATGAGCTAAGGAATTCCACTGACTACCCCTACTTTGCATTTGCACCGTGCCTTTGTGTGCAGCCTCCCCACCATGTGCTAGGGCAGGTGTGTTTGTTGCATAGTTTTGTGCCACGGAGCAATTGATTGTAGCCGATCGCTTGTTTGCCATGGACTCAACTGGAGTTAAACCTCCGACAGTAAGACCTCCACGCACACGGCTCTTTATCCTGAGAAATAGCTCTTGTGTGAACTGTGACTTCAACAGCCTCAAAGGTCAACGAAGACTTGCATACGCTCCAAGAACAAGCCACGACTTGAATCGTTTGGATACTGTTTCCGATCAATTACCGAAACGGAATGAAAAGGGTGTTGATCAATTGCTGAAAAAAAGAAACGGGAGTTGGAGTTTTTCGAATCACATTCAACTGATCAATCAATCTCCAAGGAAGGTACGTATGGCCAGCCCAAAGAAGACCTTTTGTTGAAATGCCTTGCAAATTCAGCACATTTGCTTTTCCTATTCCGCGTAAGGGTTGGGTTGATTCAGACTGAGACTTGTTGCTTTTCAAGCGCAATTTAGCTTTTTGTGGAATGAGGAAATATATTGACCGCATCCTTCCTGGTGGTTCTTTGAACTTCTCCTCACGTTGCTGGAAAGAGGTTCGCTGGTGCATTGCACTTGGTTTAGTCATGTTGCTTGGTTCGCTGGTTTGGGGTGTTTGTGAGCCACCCGCTTAAAGCCCTGTCTTTGAATAAAGAGGAGGACATTTGAAGAGACCTTTCTGATCTCAACTGGTTGAACCAGTGTCGTTTCTGTTTCAGGTGTTTGCTTCAGTGGAGAAGTTGGACAAAGAATGGAAGCTAGTGGTGAAGGTGTCCAAAGCGCAACGTTTGAGCCTTGAAATGCAACACAAAACACTGTTTGGCAAGGGTTCATTTTTGAACAATGTTGTGTAGCCTTGCGTTGGTATTATAATGCGGGATGTGACTTGGAATCGTAAGTATTTGCGGGAAAGGTGTGCAAATTTTATCATTTGATATGCAAATGATGCTACTAGAATTACGTTGCATTATATGCATTTATTACTATCATTAATTCGGTGGATTAGAGAGACCATGGTAACGACCATGGCCTATTTCCACCAAACCTTGCATTGGAACGTGCAACGTGCATGCCGAGATCCGTGCTGATGATTACCTGAGTAGTCGTGGGTGACTGCTCGTTTTGATGTATCATTTGCTGCCAGGTGAGGTGATGTATTGCATGACATGGTGAAGTGTAGTGTGAGGCAACCTTTGTTCGGTGCTGCTGCGAAACCAAGGATTTGCAGCGAACTCTTTGGACTGTTCACTGCCTCACACTTCCGAGTGGGATCCTTTGCAGCGCCCATAGGAGGGCAGAAGACCTTCACCTTTGAAATGGGGTCGTGGACTCAGTCAGGTTAGACCAGCTGGCAAATGAGCCTGTTGAGATTTCACGATTGCTTCTTTGAGCAAAGCTGGAGGTTGACAGAAGCTCAAACCTGGGACGTTGACAATTTGGGCGTGCGAATCTTTCTTTTCCATGAGAGTGGGCTGGCCACGATGCGGAGCCTTCTGGAGACCGCGTTGCTTTTCACACCGCTGCATACGAAAGGCCTGCGTCGTTGTACACCATCGTGCATTGTGTTTTTGGGCACCCTGGGCTTGGTATATGTCTATGTCGTACTAGACAGACTGGATCCTAATGTTTGGTTTTTGCTAAGAGTGGTCAGCTATGGTTGGTTTTAAAAGACAGCCTTTGAGCTACTGTGGGCAAGTTGCTTAAGAGCACTCTATAGCAGTTGATCATGGATGGTTCAAAAAGAGTTTGGAAGCCAGCGATGTGTTGGGGAATCAACGATGCAATCTTTATACAGACTATCGCTGTTAGGCGTTGCGCCGCTGGCTGCCAAACGAAATGTCGACTTCTTGAAGAAGTACATGGGTATTGACATAAAGACGCTGACCAGCATCGAGTCGGGCTGGTATGGGTAAACGTACAAGTGGAAAGCGGAGTCTTTTTGGGGGTCGTTTGTGTTTGGTACATTTGGTCCCAGGCAGAAGCAAATCTTTTTCTTCTATGTTTCACTGGAAAGGCTCAAGTCGACTAGGGCTTGACAAAATGGCTCCAGTCTAGAAAATCTGGAAAATGACAAGAACCAACTCCATTTCGACTAACTCTGGGAAGCCACTTGCACAACTGAGCAACATGAATCCCTGATCGTAATCCTTCGAGTTTCTATGCAGCCTTGCCGGCTCACAGAGTCCAGGAAAGGTCCTTTAAAACTTTAGATCTCTTAGCACTACAAGCTCTGTAATTGTTTTCCCCCTTTGTTCAGCCACCTGTGCACCTGCGCCTTTGGAAAGGCGCCTTTTGAATCGCTGTCCAGCTCTTGAGAGCTCGCTCTCAGGAAGCGCGTGGATCATGGAGAGCTGGTTTTGAACGAATCTGACATCCACAGCGGTGACTTCCTTGGCGTCATCCGCATGGATGGCTTAGATCCAATGCTGGCTTTCGGCATGGGTTCCCACACTGGACACACTGCTGTAGCCCTTTGGGAGGAGTCTGACACCAGGAAGTTCTTTCTTTGATGCGAGACGGTCAGGTTAGATATGAGTTCTAGGATCAGACCATAGGAGTCAGATTCACAAAGGACCGATTTCCTTTGTTGCCATGAGTCAACATTTTGCAGGAGGGGCAACTCTACGTGGCGGAGAGCACCGTCAACAGCTCTTACTGGTACGCTTTTGGTCGGTGATGCAAAGCCACAATGCTTTGCCTTGCAACGCTTCTACACTAATGCCTTGTGCCATTTTTCCTTGAAAAGAATAATTACGGAATGCAATTGTCAATAATTCTTCCAATGAAACTTCGTTCCAGCTCAGCTTGCCAGGCCAACGAATGGCATCCAGCGTACACCTTTTCGTGAGTGGATTGCCCAGGCCTTCAGCTCAAGACACGTCTTAGAGATGGCGATATAATGCTTCCGAAGGGTTCTGCCAGACTCTCATAGACTGTCCAACCATAGGCTGCATCTCCCGTATGTTCTTTGGTCGCGTTCTGTTTCCGACCCCGCATCCTTCTTGTTTGTGCTGCTTTGCTCCAACAAATCGGCAACCAATGCAGCCATGCTGACTCAAACCATACGTTTTGAAGTGTTGAATGAACAAACAAGGGGCTTGGACTCTTGTTTGAAGGCCCGCGCTGCTAGTTATTCAGTGGTGCACGCCCCGCTGAAGCAGCAGTACCGCAACATGGCCTTAACAAGAGTGCATATAGTTTTCAGACGCATTAATTCTGCACAGGACTTCGTCAAGTGGTTTCTCAAGCTTTGTGTTGCATGGAACATGTACAGGGACATTGTTCGTACTTAATGCGGTTTTGCATGTATAGTCGCTATACCTTCTTCCGCAAATGAACGACTTTTAGGGATCCTTCACTCCGTCACGGCCAGAAGAGGGCCCATTATGAGCTTCTCGTTACTACTAGCTACTTGCTCCTAGTAGTACGGCCAGGAGCCCCTAGTAGCGTCCTTGCTCCTAGTGGCGATGCCAGAAGACCCTAGTAGCTTCAGGAGAGCTGCTCTTATTTGGGGACTGGAAACAAAGGCTGCACACTGCACACTGCACACCTCTATAAGGTGAGAGTTTTGATGAGCGTGACTTGACAGCCGGAGAGAGCGCAGTGTGACACTGGATGTGGCACTCTGTTTCCGAGTGTTTTCCTTTTGTACTGGCGAGAATTGCTTGGAAGAGAGATTCTGGAAGAATGAATGAGGAATCAGGACCCCTGAGTCTCTGAATCTTAAGGTGGTGCGAACGCCTTCTTCCATCAATATAAAGGCTGGATTCTGTGATGCTCCAGAACAGCCGTGCTTTATGCTGGGAAGTGACTTGAGACTACTCCATGGCCCTATGAGTCAATGTCTTAAACTTGTTGAATATCGTTAATCCTCCTGTTGCCTGTAGCCAAGATGTGCGAATCAATGTGGTGTTTGCGACAACGGTCTAAAATCTCTATCCATGCCGCTCCGCACTTTTCGCTGATATGTTCACATTTGCCAGCATCAGGCCTGGAATATGGGTATCATGCCTTGTTTACTGGCTGGATCGACACTCTGCATGACAACTACCCGTTTCTTGGAGACAACCAGGGTCGACCTTGGGAGGGCGTTCCTTCGATCGGTTGCATGCCACCTTTGTTTCAGGTGCATGCCACCGTTCGACCGCCCTGAAAAAGACAGACCTTGTCTGGTCTGGGAGATCTTCGAGGCTGGATTTTGTTGGCCACGAGGTGACCCGATTTCGTGATACATTCCATTCCAGTCTTTACGTGCAAGAAGCTCCATGTGTGTCCTGCATGAGCATTGGCTCCTTTGTTATTGCTTGCTTCCCTCCGACACTTCAAGCCACAGTGTTCAGTGTTCATGAAAGCAGGTCCAAATGTCCTTAGGGCTCGCAGCAATCTTGAGGTTGTGTTGCAATGTGTGGCTCGTGCGGTGTGGCAAAGAGTCGTAGCTTCCGCTTTGACAGGTTGGCGTGCCCATTGTGACCCGATACATCCCGCGGCTTGAAAAGCCGTTTTTGCTTTCTTGGAAGCTCGACCGCGGAGCCGAATTTGATTGCTTTACTCAATCCGAGCACGTTGATTTCATGACTTACCATATGAAGAAGTTGAAAAACATGATGCAACTTGTGCATAGAACGTTCGGAAATTGAAGCACAAGAGCTTGGAGTCCAGCTATTGTGAGCACCCGAGGAATCAGCATGTGACAGGATCTTCCTTCAGCAATCTTTCAGGAACTGCACTCTACAGACAAGCTTTGTCGAAAGGAATGGAGAGTCTTATCAGCAAAAAGCCGCTTTTGTTTTGCAGTCTAACATATTTATGCTTTCCATCCCAAAATTCCTTTTTGCAGGGAGGACGAGTGAACAGGTTGTGTCCTTGCTTTTGAGCCTTGCTTGCTACGATTGTTCTTGCATCCTGAAAGTCCACAGACTGAAGGTTGGCTTCAATTCCAGCAGTGCCAGAGCCAGATGGTGTGCTGTACCCCTCCTCGTTCAACAACGGTACTGATGCTCCATCTATTTCGATGGTGCCTTGCTTTGGGTGTTTCACCTCGACCAAACAGGCTATCCTTGGCGGAACCGAAGCGGATTTCATTGTTGTTGCAAACGGGCCGGCCAGAAACTGTAGTGGTGAAGCCAAGGTGTGTGATGTTTTCGTTTGTGCCATTTGGAAAGCAGCTGGGCTCTTCAAGGAGATTGACAATGACTTCAGCTCCTTGTCATTATTCTCTTCCCCTTCAATTTTAACTGTAGCTGGTGGGCCGCCGCGTAAGGGACATCTATTAGGGCCAGTGCTTGAAACAAGTGCCTGTGTATGGGGAACACGTGGGAGGCACTTTTCATGTTGGATAGTGGATACCTGATTCATCCTGATTCTTTTCACCAGATAGCCAAAGTTATTGGGGTTCTCACTTCAAGTATTGGGATTATTACTTCAAGTATAGGAAGAGGTTTTCACCGTCAGTTTGCTGGATCAGCCTAGCGTGTTTCTGTTTCCGACATTGGAGGTGCCAAACGGGCACTCGGTCAGGAAGGTGTAAAGTCTTTTCTCTTCCTTTTCACTTAGTTCCATCAGACCTTCCTCGTGCCTTGGCTTTGAAAAACAAAAAAATAGGAAGAGGTGCCTGTGTGCGCTTTGGAGGCTGGGTGCTTGGTGCCGTTGCGAAGGTGTATGGCTGCGTGCGCTTTGGAGCCTGGGTGCTGGTGCTGCAGGGTGCTGCTGCGAGATGTGTATGGGTGCAGGCTGGGTATGTCACAAGACAATAGCTTTTACTACTATCTGGGGTCTCTGCTAGCGGCTAGCATGACTTCCAACCTACCTCGTAAGTACGCGGATGATGTTTGCTGCCAAGGTTGCACTGAGCAGACCAACGTGGACACTTGCCTCAAGTTGTTTTGTCCTTTTGCAAAAATTTTGGAGCCAGGGCAGCTCTGAAACACTTGCGACTCCCTACAGTCTTTGTGCCCTCGACTCCTCATTCTGTTTGTTTGTAGGGGATTGGATTGTGTGGGCCTCATCCGGCTTCCAAGTGAAGGAGTTGCAAGCTTCAGTGGTGTTTCTGAAATGGCTGTGTCACAAGATTTCGGGACGTCTCTCGCGGGTCTGTCGACATCCTGAGGATGTCTATGCGTTAAACATCCTGGAAGCCCCAAAGAGTCGGAAGGCCTCCTGCGTTGCTGCAGATCCCAACAACACGCTTTGCCAACTGTGCCCTGGGCCGCAGTGGGATATTTCCAACTGAAAGTTTACTTGTGGCAAGGACCACAGTCTCCGGATGTCTCCGGCATGTTTGGTGGCAACTGCGAACATCTTTTCAGAGCAAATGCAAAGCATCAGGGAACGTGATCGATCAACGCCGAATGCATTCAAGGATGGGTGATTATGAGCTCCATTTGCCGAAGCTTGGCCAACGACCTATGTACAGACACATGTGGCTTGAACGCAAGAGTCTTCTCGTGATCAAGAATCTAGACGAGAATGCCCTTGTGACTTGTGACAATGGAACTGCAGCAGATTTTGTTAACATTGTGCCACACCTGGATTCAAGTTCATTGTGTGCAATTCTCATAAGGGTTGGATAGGATGAGCTCTTCCAATGTGTTGCTGTTCTTAGGCAAGAGAGGTGCCCAACGGAACCACCACTCTATGCTCGCCCATCTGATTGCTAGATTGCGGATGCGCGTGGATGAACTCAACTCTTGTGATCCTAAAAATTGTATATTCCAAAATCTTAAACTAAGAACCATAGATAATACAATATTACGATTATTGCTGGCTATTATTAATATTACGATAAACCCTAGCAACGGGCGCGCGCGTAATTCGGCCAAGCCAAAAATCCGAAACATCTGCCAATATTTTGGGATTTTCATTTTTCTTTTTGGCGGCTTTATATTTGGTTGTCGGTTTTAGTTTTAGCGGAAAGGGCCCGAAATAATTTTATAATTTAGAATATTTTAAATTTGCCACTTGAATTTTGGAAATTTTTGTTTTATTTTTTCTAATGTTATACCATTAGGCAATAATATAACACTTGTTCGATTCTTTCTTCCGGTCGATAATATATAAATTGGTGATTTTGAGGTATAACGCAATAATTATAATTCCCCAATAGCCATGCTATGGGGTCTTGCAAAACTAATAGGCGGA